ACTTCAACAAAACGTGGAAGACAATCTTCAATCTCACAAAACTCTAAAAACAAAGTATCAATCTCTCTTTCTCACTTGTGTTCTCTTTCTTTTCGTCATTCGGGGTCTCTCCTTGAAAAGGGATCGAAAATATCTTTAAATAAGGGTATGGAGCAGCTGTGATTGATTAGGGAAACCCTAGGTGGCAAAAATAGGTTTAATGAAAATTTCTAAAACTGGATCTACTGCAGAGCAGGTCTAGCGATCGGGAGCGGGTGCTCCTTTTCTTCAGAATCTTCAAAAATATCCAATTTCCCTCCTTTTTCACCAAGTCCCATTGTGAGTTCTAATCCTCCATTCTAGCCTCCTTTTGACCTAAAATGACTCAAAGTAAAGCAAAAGACTCGATAAAAACCTACAAAACAAATGTTAGAATGCGCCAAAAACGCATTATATCAAAATATTACATTTAGTTGAGTCTAAATTTTAAAAATATGTATTAATAGGTTTATGTTAAAAATTAGTGAAAATATGTAGAGAATTTCCATCATGTCATATACCTTTAATTGAATTGTTTTGATTGGTTAAATTAAATTATGTGTCTCTTAAATTGCTCATTGATTGACATTATTTTTTTTTCTTTAGTATTGTATCTCCTCAATTAGTATAGTTTATTGCCTCATGTATCTCCTTAAAATAGTATAGTTTATTTTTTAAAAACGCATTATATCAAAATATTACAATTAGTTGAGTCTCCTTAATTAATTTATAAATTGCTCATTGATGGACATCTTCTTTCAAATAAGACGTTTTAATTTTCTTTAAAATAATAATTACAATTTGTTCAAGGAAAACGCTTAAAAAAACTTAGGAAAAAAATTGTCGTGTTTTTGGATAACAAAACATATGTATGCGGTTGAAGTGATGAGCATTTGCTAAAATATATCTATAAAAAAATTCCTCCGTTCCATAATTATTAAAAACTCTAGTGATAAGTAACATTTGGGTTGAAGTTCACACATTCCTTAATCTATCTTAGTAAAGACAATTAGGTTTCATCCATAGGAAACTCAGGATCAGCTGGTTTCTGAGGCAACAAAGATAACATATGAGGAAACCTAGCGTTTCTTTCTGCTGCATTCGCCCTTAGATTCTTCAGAGCATTAGAAGCAAACCTCGACGCGTAAATCGCAGCTCCTAAGTTAAGTTTAGTGCCTCCTGAATCATCATTTTGAAGATTATTTTGTAGTCTGCCTTCTTCTTCACGTAAAGCTTTTGAAAGCTTCCTTCTACAATGTCTCCTCCATGCTGCTTGTATAAAACATGCAGCCCATGTTTGCCATTGCACCGAATAATACCTGAAATTAAGAAAAATCATTGCCAAAATGAACAAAGAAACAAAAAAAGTTAGTTAGGGTTATTACAGTCAAGGTAACTTGAGAATCAAAGTTACTGAAGTCATTAGGGTTATTACATTGAAGGTAACTTGAGGAACAAGATATGCGAATTTAGATTTTGATGGTCCATAGTATTTGGTCTTGCTCAATGAGTTATCTATCTCTAATCTGTTAAGTTAGCTCTATATGTGAAAGATTTACCTAAACATGTGTCGTAGTTGCTTGCTATGGAGGCGACGATATTGAGTAGAGACAGACTTGAGATCATCAGCTGAAAGAACAAAGCCTTCGACTTCTGTCTGAGCTTGAACGGTTCTACTAGAGATAGGGAAGTGAGAAGCATGCGGATCTAATGCCCAAGTGAGAAGATCATCTCCACAGAAATCACCAGCACTTAGCGTAACCGAATTGAAGAATCCAGATTTACCACCATAAGTTGTTGTACTAATTAGATTTCCTCTCATTATAAACAACATATCCTCGACTGGTTCGCCTTCGCGCACAATGTAACTCTTCTCTGTGTAAAGAACTGTTTTCAAACGAGCACATAGTGCGTCTAGTAACCGATCATCCATGGCTTGAAACCAAGGCACCTGAAACAGAGGATTTCGTTAAGTTAGATTACCAGTATGTATCGATAGTCGCGATGGGACAAAACCCAGATAAGGTTTATATGTTTACCCTTTTGAGCAAATTGAGACAAAGATGTCGTTTAATGTCCTTTCTAAGATCTTTTGGAAGACTACAGAGAAGAGCTTCTTCTTCAACTCCTCTGGTTTCTTGCCATTTATATTGTTCGTATTTACGGATACGTTTTCTCAAATCATCTGGTAACATTCGGTGAGACATCCATTGTTCTGCATCTCTCCTTTTCACTCTCATTTCCTCAACTCTAACCGTAGTTGATTGCAAATATTTCTACAATGTAACGAAAAACATGATCAGTTTTTGTAAGAAATTGGATTTAAGAGCTTGATGCACTCAAAGAAAAATAGAGTAAATTACCTGCATATTTCCAATGAGAAGAGCAAACAAGACTAGTCCAGAAATACAAATAATAATCGCGAAAATGATCTCTCCTTCAAAAGCACTCGTCTTCAAGTTTTGGCCTAAAGCACTATAACACATAGAGCAAGAAGATTAGTGTCTATTGCAAATACACATTTTATGTTACACTAAGAAATTTCGAGGTTTTTGGCCCATACCTATAGTTAGATTGGATATATAATAAACCAAACCAAAGTAAAGTTCTTAAACAGAGCCAACGATTGCTTACAAACAAAATGTTCATTCATAGACCATAATGTACTTATAAAGGACTGAAATTTTACATACCTAAGATTGCGAAGACCCCACCAGAAACAATAGAAAAACTTCTTAGGGAAATCTCTAGACTCCACAACTCCAGATTGCAATGCATCAGCAAATATACCAAAGTTGAAAGCCGTCGAGTTTGTGATTTCCTCTGGATCGATTAACGGGCAAGAACCGTTTAGATACACCCTATTGTCTTCCGTCGAGTTTGGTGAACAGTATAAGTTGGCATGAATGCATCCGGGTATCTTTTCACACGCTTCGCGCCAACATCTATCTTTCCTTTCTATCGAAATCAAGTACCAAAATGACCCAAAAACCTATCCAATAATATCACAATTCTTAAAACCGTTATTTTCGCCTCGAAAATGAGACAATTCGATTAAAGAAGCAAAAAAAAATACTCTTCTTACATGGCTAGCTAACATGTAGAGGAACAGGTTTAAAGCAGCTCCAGCCCAAGCGGTTTCAGTTACCAAACCAGAGGTTCTTGTTACTTCTTTAGAAAGCGGATAAATCCGCGCTATCCGCGGAACATATTGACAAAAGATTACCCATTTCAATAGCTCCTTTGTAACCAGTGACGCGGGTCGACTCATCTTTGGAACAATAGCTAGAACAACTACCTATAATTGAAAATGAAAATGAAAACATTTCAGATATATACATTTGATATACTGTAACCAAAAGATCTTGATAACGAAACATGATTTTACCTGCGGGATAGGGAGAATCGAAAGAACATCGATTATAAAGTACGATTTAAGGTATCTTATAGCGATTGCTTTAGGATCATCAATAAGCTCTCCTCTTCCGAAACCACGAGACGAAGGAGCGATGAAACCGGTATGAAACCGGAAAAGCATGTGAACCACATAGAAAGCGTCGATGAAAGTGCGGAAAACGCAAGCCACCGCCTGAAGTTTCTTGTCTAGATTAAGACAGAATCTTTGGGGATTCACAACAGGGATATAGAAAAACAGAGGATCAAAGGCTAAAGCCACAACACATAGTAGCAAGAAAATCTTGTTCCAGCTTTGAAGATAAGAATCGTTCGGATTCATCACTCTTAGTA